CAGGAAATTGAAGCACGGAGTCAAGGCCGTAGAAGCAGGTGCAATGATGTGTCTTTGACACCCACCTTCCCTGTCTTTCCTTCACTATTTCTCGCTGTTGTTGCTGTGCCAGCGTTCCAGACTCGACCATCTCCAGATCGCCTTCCATTTCTTTGTCATCCTGCACTGCAACTGCCTCTCTCCGTGCTGCCACAGCTGGTCATGCCCGTGTTGCTGGCAGCGGAATGTTACTGATGTCTCTGTCACCTGAAATGCCACGTTTACCAGTATTCCCTATTAATGCAGACGACATTCTGATCGCTACAGAAACCATCCCACCTCCACAGGGCGACACTCCGCTCAGCCCGCCGACTTCTGGACTTCCAGATTTTGCAGAAGACCCCGATATTATCATGTATTCTACCGGCTCAAACTATTTCCAGTCTGTGACCACAGGACCCGCAGCGCGAGAGTCTGATCTCAGTGATGAGTTTTGTGTAGATCGTCCACATCAGCGACAGGATGCCAGACCCTTCCAACCTGAATTTGCCGTCAAGAATGACCCTGGGCATGTAGAAAACGTCGGAAACAGGAGACCATCGAGATACGACACCAAACCACCACCGTTTGGGCCAAACCGGGCTTCCGTTATGGCTACACCAACGGCCTCATCACCAATCTCCACCCGCGGAAACCATAGAACTGGTCGCTCAGAGACGACCCCAGCTGATGAAAAGTCTACTGCTTCAAAGTCCGAGCTTTCATCAGCAAAGTCTCGACTTAGAAGCAGCAGCAGGCGCCAAAGTCTCCAGACCGCCACCGAACACAGTGATACCGAGGACGATGACAGTGCAGATGAGAAGGGAGAGCAAATTCCGCCTGAGCATAACCTTAGAAAGAGGACTCTTCAACAGACAAACCCCTTCAAGTTCGACAAGCACAAACACCTCGCCCAGAAGACTGGGCAACACACGAACACGAGGAAAATCGAAAACAAGGTGCAGCAAGAGATTGAAGGAAGTCAAAAACAACCAGTAAAGAAGAAAGCCCGGATCTCCGGTGGCAGCACAACCAAGAACAAGACCAGAACTTCTGCGTCCGGAGATCAGGGCGCCAGCAAAGCATATTCGCCCAGCTCGGTTCTGCTCGCGACTCCGTCGCCGGAGGCTCACAACAATCATGGCTTTGATCCAGCGAGGACTGTGCTCCGTGTGCGGTTGGATGGCTTTGCTGATGCGGCTGCTCCGATCCCTCTAAAACAATGCGATGGGATCGACAAGCTAATGGACTTCATTGTCGATAGCTGGGAATGGAGTTTCAATGGCACGCATTTCTCCTATGCAGTCGCATCTTTTTCGTGGCTCTCGGAAAAGTCAAACATTCTCCTCCGACCCGGCATGGAAGCAAGTTTCCAACTCATGGTGACCGAAATTGAAAACGCTCCCATGTGGACAGATGGTCATCACACAAGCTGTGAGGTCGACGTGACAGTGTACGTACAATGAAGTGTGGTCAAGACATATTCACCGAAGAGCGTATAACAGCGAAGGAGAAAAGTAATTGCCGTGGTCATGCCAGTACCAAGGACACACAGGTGTCTGGCCAGGGGAAGCTGCTCTACTGTCCTGACTTTTTAGGTACATAGTTAGTGTCACAGAAAACATGAAACAAGCATAGCTTTCTTGCCTGGATCAAGCTTGCCTTTAGGCTAGGACCAATAGCAGACCCATGTTGCGCGGTCGGCAGCCAGTCGGCTTACAGCTGCGACGGGTAGGGGACCACCAAGGCCACTTTGGAAGAGAGTGCCCCTGAATATTCTCCGACATAGGATTAATCGGTTGCGACTTAACAAGAGATGAGGAAGCGAGCAGGGTACACTTGATCTCCTTCTCGTCTATCTCCGACACCTTTCACTTCACTTCTCGAACTTCAGTTCCTCACTTCATGTGTTGTTGATTGATGCCCATGCGGCGATATTTGGCTTTGACTTTTGGAGCCGGCCGCTGTCAACGCAGCCCACCAGTGCGCCTCTAACGCAGGTGCACTTGCAGTAGTCGACAGCATCCTCTTTGGACTCGGCACGTCCCTAGAGCTTACCCCATTATCTCGCCTTCGAGCAGCCACAAGATCCTCGCCCATCAGCTCGGATTGCCACCATCGAAGAGAAACTCAGCCGTCAATATCGTTCCGGCGCTGAACCAAACTTCACTTCTCCCTCACATTGCTCCCGCGTTCATTGCACAAACGGACAGACCTGAACGTCGCTATCACACTCTTGCGCAACGCTGCACTCTCCCGGGTCTCGTTGCATTGTACACCTGCGCTGGTCGCCCCTGGCTTCTTCTATCAAGTCCAACTCATAACCATATCGCGCCTGCATCTGAGCCTGCCTTCTTCTGCGAATGAGCGTGCGCACCGCGGTCACAGTGCAGCCATCAACCGACCAAGCGACACTCACTATCTTCTCCTCACGTCAGCGCCTGCACCTTCCCGCACTTGCCATCAGAACGCGTCTCTCCGAATTGGTCAATCGGCAACAGCTTTCCCCGAACGCTGCACTGGCTTCATCCCGACATCATGACCTCCCCAGCTGCTCTCTCTCGCAATGAGTCCCAGGCCTCGAGTCGCAGAAGCACTAGTCTTGGTTCTCGGCTGTTCCGGTCAAAGAGCGGCGAAGCCTTGGGCGAACGCAAGAGTTCTGCAGGCCGACTGAAAAAGAAGACGCAGGACATGGACGAAACCGCGAAGCTCCCTCAATCCCCTCCTCGCCTTCCAAATTACAATCCTCAGCCTCTGGGCATCCAATCCTTTGGTGGTGAGAACTACAAGCCTCGAGCAGCCTCCAGGGAATACACAAATGGCGATAGTCATACCCCTCCGGTTCCTCCTTTGCCTCTCAACATGGACAAAGACGCCGTCGATCCATATGCTCGCACAGAAAGCATGACCCACCGTAAGTTTGCCCCGACTCTTTCGGAGGTACCTCCAATTTGACTTGATCCTTCCAGGTGGCCGATACTCGTATGCGAACTCGACTGTCTCTACCATCAATTCCCCTCGAAGAGTCCGCCGCCGTAAGGATCCCACTCCATATAATGTCCTCATCATTGGCGCTCGAGGTGCTGGCAAGACGTCTTTCCTCAACTTTCTGAAGAGCTCATTGGCTCTGCCATCCAGGAAACAACCGAGTCGAGCTCCTGATGGTGACACGCCTCCGTCGTCAGCGAGGCCGAATCCCAGTTTCACCCACCATTACCAAGAGATCGACGTCGATGGCGAAAGGATAGGCCTGACACTTTGGGACTCCGTGGGACTGGACAAGAGTGTGGTCGACCTTCAACTCAGAGACATGAGCAATTTCGTGGAAAGCAAGTTCGATGACACTTTCGTTGAGGAGATGAAAGTTGTTCGTGCTCCCGGTGTCAGAGATACCCATATTCACTGCGTCTTCTTCATCCTTGATCCGGCAAAGCTCGACGCAAATATCAATGCTGCACAGGGCATCACGGGTGGAGCAGAGACCAGCCGGATTGGGAAGCCACCTCGGATTGTTGGTGCTCTTGACGAGGACTTTGACATTCAAGTCATCAGGACTCTGGGCAGCAAAACCACTGTCATACCCGTGATCAGCAAGGCAGACACAATAACAACGGCCCATATGTCATTTCTAAAACAAAAAGTCAGCAGAAGTTTGAAGAAGGCGGGCCTTGATCCGCTCGAGGCTCTCAATCTCGATGCTTCGGAGTCGGACGACGACCGTCTGGACGAGCGGGACGAGGATGAAAACAGCAGCAACGCAGACTCCGAAGAAGCAGCTTCTGCCAGGAGTGATGATTCGGAAGGTAATCGAAACTTTTCCAGCAGAAAACGATCAGGGAACCACAACCGCCAAGTCTCTGCTGAAGACGCCGCTCTGGACGGCGGCTATATCCCTTGGTCCATTCTTAGCCCGGACAAATATTCCCTCGAGTCGAAAGATGGCCCTGTCGGTCGGCAATTTCCTTGGGGTTTCGCAGACCCGTACAACGTGAGCCATTGTGACTTTGTCAAATTGAAGGACGCAGTATTTGGTGAATGGCGGTCGGAGCTGCGGGAGGCGAGCCGGGAAGTGGTAAGAATTAAACTCCTCCTGCCTGTTATGTTGTGAATTCTTTCTAACGGATGCTAGTTCTATGAGCGCTGGAGGACCAACCGTCTCAATCGGCGAACGCTACCAACAAATGCAGCTAACGGCCTTCCGTCCGGACCGCGTCAGAGTACTGCTGGAATCCCAATACCTCTACAACCTCGTGGTCGTTAGTGGGATTGGTCTCTGCACAATACCTGTACTACAGCAGGGCAACACAAAGTTATCAGCCAGTATCTATTGACCGGGAGAATTAGGTAAATCAAGGACATTCTTCGTCGGTATGTTATTCAGTAGCCACTCGGCAAGGATGTGTGGATGTTCAATTGAGAAGTGAAAGAGCAAGACTAAAGGGCGAACATGGTTCTATTGCTGGCTCAAGGGGCGGGATGGTTTGGGTGGCGCGTGCGTGTGTTTGTTCTCCATCCCTTGCATTTGCAGTGCCTTGGTTTTTCACGACCTGACACGAGTCATGACACAATACAACCTTACCGCTGGTACAACATGGGCTGTTGCTTTGCATTCCACAAGCAAGCAGAACAGGCTATGGGTGAAAACCCTTTTCCTTTGTCGACTTTGACTGCGTTGGTAGAGAGGAGCATCGCAAGCGAGTGGGGAATGCTGAGTACATTGAGCTGAGCTCGGTGGTTGAAACGAAGTCTTTTGTTTGGTGCTGGCTGAGTTGAAAATTGTAGCGAGCAGAGTTAGTACGCAAATACCCCCTTTTTGGCTTCCAATGATACCTTTTGAGCTCGTGGACCTTGTCGCTACCCTGCCCTGCCCTTCCCTGGGACACTCACGGTTCACCAGTACCTTGCAACCACAACCACACCGAAGAGCTCATCCACCGTTCGGTCTAGCACAGCAAAGAGACAAAAAGAAAAGAAGAAACAAAAACAATCAACAGCCAGGATTCCTAAGTCATCCCCGACCTTAGTACTGACTGGCCGGCATCTGGCTTGAGTACCGCTGAGCAAACGGGAAGCGCTATATTCCAGATCCTATGGTCGATTGCGGGACAGAAAGGGCTGTTGGAGGGTTATGAAGCATGAAATTTGTGGTGTGAAGTAGTGTGTGGGTATAATCCCACTTTGAGGCAGTTCAGGCTGTTTTCGGACCTCAGCACCACTTTTATTTCATTGCCATCATCATTCGATATTTGATGTTCGATATTCGATATTCGATGTGGTTACCGTACTCGCTCCGAGGACCTCGAGCTCGCATCCTACCTCGCACCCCAGCCCATCGCGGCAAACAAAGAACCGCGCGATAACCCTGTGCACGGTTATGCCACCGTAAGTACCGAATACCCCAATCAATAAAACCAGCGATACTCGGTCGCGGCCGGCCCATCCCTCAACAACTCGGTGGGCACGTCGCGGGCGCGGACTTTCTTGCCGCCCTCACGCACAGCGAGGCGATTGCGACGCTTGTTGTCGACGACCATCCACGCACCCAGCAGCAGCGTGAGGAGGCAGCCGACGGCGCCGAACGTGGCCGTGGTGACCAGCGCGGGGAGGTATTTCGGCGCGTCCTTGTTCTGGAAGATGTTGGAGCTGACGACGCCCATGAGGTTCGCGACGGGCACGCCCACGCTCGTCAGCATGACGCGCTTGTTCTCGTCGGCGATGTTGTTGTTGTACCATACGTCGAGGATCACGCTGGGCGCCGAGGTGCCCCATGTCATCCTGTGCACATAAATATGTTAGCTTCAGACTTGTCCACTGTACTTTAATTGTCCCTCGTATAATAATCGCAGGGGCTGAGGGGACTGGACTACTAGTATGATATGGGGATGATAAGACCGGGTGGCGATAACTGGACCACCAGGACTGGACCAGAATGGGAACGTCCCGGTGGTGTTTAGCTCGGGGAAGAAAGGGCGTCCACGCAAAGATGATATTGACTTACATGAAACACGCAAAGTACGCGACGTGGATCTGGGTCTCGAGGTTCACGGCCGCGAAGATGATGAAGCCAATACACGTGAATGCGAAGCCCAGGGCCACGAACGGGAACCTCAGGCGCGTGTAGTCGGACGCGAACGCCAGGACCAGGAGCATGACCGCGCCGGTGATGTTCGGGGCCACGGTGTACAGATTGCTCTTGACGGTCGAGTAGCCGAGTTGCTTGACAATGACGGGCAGGAAGAGGCTGACGGACTGCAAGGGTACGCCCAGGCAAATCTCGATGGCCAGGATGATCCAGCTGGTGGGGTGTTTGAAGATGCCCACCGCGGACCGGAGGTTGAACTTTTCGTTCACAATCGACGACGAGTCAACTTGCATGCGGTAGAAGGCCAGCTGTTTCTCCTCTTCGGTGAGGAAAGTCGCCGACTGGGCGTTGTAAGGGAGGACCCAGAATGCGAAGACCGAGAAAATCATCGAGCACGCTCCCTCGATGACGAACAGGTACCGCCAGTTGGCGAGGCTGCCGGACTCGATCTGGAAGACGCCAAAGGAAAGAAGTCCACCAAATGCGGACGCGATGTTGGACGCGGCGTAGAAGATGGCGAGCCGGCGCGCGAGTTCGCCTCGACGGTAGAAGACTGCCAAAGGATTCACTCCGTCAGTGAACGTGACCCACGCGCGCACACAGGGAAAAGGTGAGTTCGACGGTAGATCGATCATAAGCTTGGATTAGATGGACGACTCACGTGTCTGGTAAAAGATGATGCTGGGGAAGAAGCCTCCTTCCGCCTGTTTGAGTATAGTCAGCTAGAGATCCATGGTTGGAAATCGTGCAACGCTGAGCGGCCGGGACATACCATGCCCAAGAACCATCGACAAGCAAGGAGTCCACCAAAATTCTTGACCGCCACGACCATGAGCGTGCTGAATCCAAAGCAGATCATCATGAGCGGGAGCGTCCGACTGGGTCCAAAGCGTTTACTGGCCATGCCGACGAACGGCCCAGACAGAACGTATGGGACAAAGAAGATGGAGAGGATCAGGTTGTAGTCGTCTCCTTTTAAGCCGAGATCCTTCTCGAGACCTGCCGTCTTTGCGTTGCCCAGGTTGGATTTATCCTGAGAGCATCATGTTTAGCTTAGCATTGAGTGCCACGGCGGCCGGGTCAGGAGATGTGCATGACGCATACCAGAGCGTTGAAGAGATACATAATCGCCAACGTGGGGAGAATGCGAAGATCGAACTTCCACACCAGGCGTCGTTCCGCCGCCGGATCAATGGCGACACTTGCAGACATGGTCCCGCCTTCTCCGACAGAGGTCACTGGTACGACGCCATCCTCTGTGATGGACACCTTTTTATCTCCAACGCTGAGCTTGCGGTCGCTGCTAAATTCGGAGTCCATGCTGGTCCAGAAGGCCGTGCAGCAGGACAGTCCTATGAAGACGGAGTGGTTTTTCCCCCTGGTAGATCAGCAGTCCGTCGAGTTTTCGTCCTTGGAACCCCCCCAAGGGCGAGATATCTGCTCTTATATTCACCCAAGGCGGAGAACAACGACCTTCCTTTTATTCCCCGGAAAGGATTTACGCCCAGCATGATAGATAGTAGGGGAGCGTTCAGCGGTTAATGAAAACTCCAGCCAGCGGCGTTTGACGTGGGAGAGATAAGAAACTCGTCAAAAGAGGCATTGTAGCGAGACAATCAGCGAGCAGCATTGCTTTCAGGAACTTACTGCAAACAGAAGCAAAGTTACATTGGCGATTCGAATGTGGGATCTTTGAGGGGTTCAGGTCCTGGTCACCCTGCGCTGCCCTGGTATGGTTTGCCGATCATGCTCCTTGCGTGTATGGTTACAACAGCCAAGGGCCACGAGAGACGCAGACAGTCAGATGCTGATAAGGGCATCGGCGAAGTCGAAGAGAGCCCTATCACCCGGTCCAGACCGACGTCACCGCCGACAGTCCTGGAGGCCCCTGTTCCACTCAGGCGTGTCATTGGCCACTCAAAACACAAGAGTAAGAAGCCTCAAAGGTCCTTCGATTCGGGACTATGGCCGTGGTTAGCATTCTTAGTGATCTTCAGTGCATCGCGCCAAGTCCACTACTTGCAAACCCAACAGCTCGGCCGAATGAAAATCGCCCAGCCATCCCCCTTCTTGCACGCCGTTTTCGATGTGAGAGTCTTACGTGCAGTTGACTGCGGTGTATCCTGCAACTAGCTTGCTAGATTGATCAGAACGCCCATATTGCTATAACGGAGATCTCCCAAGGGCCAGGGGGCCGCGAAGCCAATCATGTTCGCTCCGAATGGTCCAAAATGTTGGTATTCGTAACATCGGCGAAAAAGTCGACGTCGACGGCATTGGAGCCGTAGATGAGATCGGAAATTTCCACTGCACTGAGTCAATTGTCGGCCAACGTCAAGCATCAGCTCGTTGCTACTGCCTCCATGGGGTCCGTGACCACCGAGGCGGCGCTGAGGGCCTGGGTTGTGTTATACTAGCAGGTGAGGAAAACCGGACGACTGATGAACGAGCGATGGGGTCAGACGACTTTGGACGTTTCTTTTCAAAACTGCAGCATCATGACGACAGGCAGTGGCACCTACGAACGGACGGTGAATCAGGACGCGCCCAAAAGTATTTCCAACCTCGAAAGTACCTCAGCCACGAGCCTCATGTCTTCGGCGTCCATTATGTCCACAAGAGATGACTAGCTTTGCAGTCGGTCAGTGGCCTGCTAGGCGCACCATCCGAATCTGCCATTGGCATGCTCGAGCTCGAGATCTCAGCTCCAGCCAATGTCGCAGCAGGTGTGTAGAATTTCTTGCCATTGGTGCGGGAATCAGTCTCTCCGAAGCCTTGGGGCCTTGCTCTTGCTCTTCCTCGGATGAGGCACCATCCAGTGATTGACCCTGGCAATGGCAGGGTTCGTTAGGTGTGGTCTCGTTCGGTGGGATGGGACGTCGTCCCTGGGAATTAGCAGCGGGTGCTACAGTGTAGGAGCCGGAGGTCAGTAGAGCAGCCCAATCACCTAGGCGCAGATTTCGCACATCAAATGCGGGGTACCTTAACCTACCGTACGGGGTAGCTTAATGGGGCTCTTAGGCATCCTTAAGGTAGGCCAGCCTAGCCGTCTCCCTACTGTAGGTCACGGCTCGAGAGCCAGTGTTAGGCTTCGCGACCCCCTAGCGGTAGGTGAGCTGCACCCGTCAAAGATATTTACGTCATACTACTATACTCAGCGTCCGCGGCACCAGCACTTCCAGCACCCCCAGTGAGTGTGATATTATTACAGCGAATCGCATGGGACGATACGACCTGCTACGTGATGGCATTTCTCTGAAAAACCTATCTCGTAGCCACAGGTAGTTATGCACCTGCCCGGTGGTCACAGTCCAAATCCAACCCACCGCGCAGTCCCGAGGACTTCATTACACTATGCATGAACTTCCCGATAATGCCGTCTTTCTTGGATTGGTTGGCTCGGAAATGGAACAGGGTCGCGGTAGAAGACGCTGTTCGATGGAGTTTCGACACAGCAACCGTTCTTCAATATCCCATTCTAACCGTCACTCAATCCATCTTGGACAAAGCTACCACCGGCATCTGTATGATGGTCCCAAGAGGAGTGAAGTTCTCTTCGGGCCACTGCTCGAGAATTGGCTTCGGAAGCGACAGCAACACCGATTGCTGCATCTCCGCCGTTGATGCACACTTCGTTCATGGTTTGCGCTGTCTTGTGGCCCAGTAGACTCTTGGTCTTGTGAAATGCACAAAACGCTGCAACCCCAAAAAGACTGGTTTCGATTAGATTCGGCAGGATCCTCCTTTCCAACGACCTTGGCTCTCCCAAGCCAATCCAGCAGCAGTTTCCTGTCGGGCATCCCAGCATAGTTGGTAAAGAAATCGATGCGACCTCCTGCCGAATTCGAACGCGCGGTTGAAGAGAGCAAGCCGGTCCTCAGTCTTGGAAACTTTTGTTCGTACGGATATATAATGATCGTCGTTGAGAGCCGTCTTGATCTCATCGTACGCCGCATTCGTGAATGTCGGCCAGGACAACTCACCAATGCACGCTGGTGCTGGAATCTTCCTCCTTA